CTCATTGTGAAGTAGACTTCAACATTAGACAACTCCTAAGCAGCTATGGTTGTTTCATAAATTCAAGTACGAGTGTGACCCGTTCTCTAACTGCTGCGGAAACGGCGTTGTGATAGTGGTACTGTGATGAACTTTGGAGTCATCGGTGAATATTTGCGATCTATTAGCTAAATCTGTCTTGCTGACTAATCTACGAGAGAGCTGTTTAAGTGTTTCAGGGCTAGTTCTATTTTTTTTTAAGGAATGAAGGGTGGAATCACATGAGGTCGGAGACAGGAGGTATTTGGATATCCAGATAGTTTAGATGCGTTTGCGCACAGGTTCAAATATTTTTCAAAATATCAAACAGCGGTCTGCTAGTTGTAGCCAACATTGGGAATGAGCCTCAAAGTAGCCGCTTATATCTTTCGAGGATGGTGTACTCATATGTCGTTAACTTCTTTACGATTCAGAGCCAACGTTATTAAATGAATGAATTGAAATTACTTTTTTTAAACTACTTGGCATAATTATGAATATTTAATAAACTCTCGAACATATAAAAGCTCCAATGTAACCCAACAAGCAAAATAAACTTAAAGAAAGTTTTTTTTAAGTTTTCAATTATAAACATTAAGCTTACAAAACGTTGATTTTTTGTTTATAAAACGCTTGAAAGTAAGCGTAATATAATCGAAAAGGAACATTGGTTATAAGCGTAGAAATATAAACTTGTAATAAATGTTCAAAAGAAAGCTTTTTATAAGCGTAAAAGTGTAAACTTATAATAAAGGTTCAAAAAAAGTTTTTTATAAGCGTATCAATATAAACTTACAAAAAAATTTTCAAAAGAAAGCTTTTTATAAACATTTTTATAACCCTTTATTTAAAGATATTTCATTAAAAACTCATACATAGATTGCTTAACATCTAGAAACTAAACGAAATGCGAATTTTCGGTGGACTCATCTACAGTCGCGAAAATATAAATAAGGAATAGACATTTTAGCATACAAATTCACAATGACACATACAAATTAAGCATAAAAAAGTTAATTATTACATCTTGTTGCGTGCTTTCAATTACTTGCGGTTATTGGCAAATTGGAAAAGCGACATCGATGCAGCTATATATTCCGCTTCATCGCCGCCATTCTCATTGATGAAATTTTCTGAAAAAAATTTAATACATTTTTAATTGAATGTTAAACTAAGAAAGGATAAGGGGAACTCATCATTTGAAGACTCGAATGCTCCACCGATTAGCGCAGCGGGTCCTGGATTGGATTTTCTTGTTTTACCGCATTGGTTTTATTTAATTTTTTCTTTTAATAATATATTTAAAAAAACGTAAACACGTCACTTACGATTGAAAAAATTTTATATTTACTACTTCATGTCGTTGACATTTGCATTTCATTTATAAGTTTAAGTTATTTATAAACATTCGCTCTCAAAACTTATTAAAGGTTTATTTGAAAAAACTTTTAATAAGCTTAATATTAAAAATGCTTATTTAACGCTTATTATAGCAAACTTAATTTAAGTTATTTTTAAAATCGTTTACTGAAATGCTTGTTGGGAACTGTTGGTGATTTCGTTTCTACCAAAAAATGTTTCCTATGTTAGAAATCCTGCTAAAAAAATTAAGTTTCTAAGCGGAGTTAAATAAAATTAATGATGAATAAAAGTCCCTCTACACCTTTGACCCACGGCTACATACAAACATACATATGCCCATATTTCATTGCCGGCGCTCAATTTGTATGCTATTAAAACTTCAATAACTATTTTATTAGACTAATTTTCAGTTCATAGGTGTTATTTAGTTCCAAAAATGACGTCATTGTGGCGCTTTTGCTTCATTTAACGCATAAGTTCATTAATATGTAAATGTATTCAATGCAATCAATAGAAATTTGTATGTTTGTATGTATATGTATACATGCATGTTTACAATTCCATTGAAGTCACATTTGAAAAGGCACTTACTTAATTGAATTGGCCGACAAGTAATAAAAAAATGGTGTTCACCTTAAGCGCATTGGGGATCTGTCTATCAGCTATGGTAATTAATGATTGGCTATTGGTTTTATTTTCTCAGGCTAATAAATTTGAATGCACATTGTGGGTTGGCATCATAACTTAGTTTTGAATATTTGGCTATGAACTTTATGTGCTTTCGTTGTATATTTATATTTGTATGCGCACGAGAGGGAGAGTATTTTTATGAAACGGCAAATGTGGCCTGTCGTGTTATTACAATTTGACCTTTGCGAGCCATTCGAAATTTTTGCAGTAAATATATTGAATGGTGCTTATTATAATCAGTCATGCATGCATTCATATGTATGTATATATATATGTATGTATGTTTGTAGGTATATCCTTTCTTTTTGGTTGTCACACATTGAAAAAATAACTTAATATTTTTTTACTTTTGCCAAATATAAATCTTTTTAAATCATTTAGTAATACCCTTTATTTTACAAGTTGGATTCTAGATATAAATAATTTATGTATGAATTTAGTTAAACTATTAGTGACCTTGCCACTGATTTAGGCAAACTTCAAAGGTTTTTAGTTAAAATCAACTTTATGGGATTTATCTTTATTTCTTATGCGTCATTATACCAATTCGTATGATACATAAATATTTATGTAAATAAATACATACCGCATATATAGAACTCTGTAGAGAAAAAACTATCTATCATATCTAGTAAAAATTTAAGTTACATACATTTCCGTTAAACAACCCCATAGAGATTCGATTCGTTTGTAATGTAATACCTTTCGCTGCTTGTAACCTACATCAAATTAGGGTAGCTCAGACAAAAATTTCCTGTTTCCCCAGCTGTGCACGAGCGCAATTGAGTGTTGAAGACAACGCACACGATCTTCAAAAGTGACACAACTCATACTTACACGTTCCTCAGAAAATGCTAATCATTTGGGCAAGGAAGACTCTTTACCTAAGGTTTCTTCAACAAGTTTGCTCCAGCTTTTGCTGAAAGGGAAATAAAAGCTCTGTATACATTTTTAATGCATAATTTCAAAAATGCCAAATTTTCAGTTGTGTCACTTTTGAAGATCGTGTGAAATATATGGAAGTGAACCATGTCTGTGTAGTTGACATACGGTATGGCGCAAAAAGGCGGGAAAATGCTGTTCTGAGTAGCTTTTCACACTTCGTTTGAAAAACACCTTAAAAATTTTAAAAAGGGCATTCTTGAAAAGTTTTTTAAGACAGGGCGTTTTCGAACTGGCTGCCGAGATAGGTCGATCTTCCACTCAGCAGTCGAAATGTTGATTAAAAAAATGGTTTAAAAAATTTTGGTTACAAAAATTTTCAAATAAAAATTTGTTCTGAGTAGCTTTTAAATAGTTCTAGAGTTCCTAAAAAGGAAAAAAAAGCTATGCGAAATTACGCAAAAAAATATTTTTTTCACAAAGGGAAAAAGTTTAATTTTTGATAAAAAAAAGAAATAAATTTAATTAAAGCTGTCCTGAGTAGCTTTTAAATAGTTCTAGAAATCCTGAAAAGGTAAAAGTTTATTCAAAAAAAAATTTAATTAAAACTGTTCTGAGTATATTTTTTATAGTTCTAGAATTCGTGAAAAGGAAAAAAAAAGTTCTGCAAAATTACGCCGAAAAAAATTTTTTTCAAAAAAGTCTAAAAAAATTTGAAAAGACCTCGAACATGACGTGATGGAAGCTATCAAGCCTCGGATTCTCATTCAGCGCCTCGAATAACATAGGGATATAGAGGTTTGGTTCAATATGCAGAACCTTTTTTTTTGTAGAGCTGTGTAATTATCGAAAAAATAAAAGTAAAGAAATTATGATTTTACAATGATCTAAAAATAAAAATCTTCATATTTCACGATTACATTCGGTCCCTACAACTATCATCCCGGCATAGTTCGCAGAGGTAGGGGAGAAACATACTCTGTTTGATTGCGAACGGTTCGAAGCAGAAATATGTCATCTAAACAAGATATGTGAAGTCCCGAGACAGAAGAAATATTGATTTCATTTGGCCAATTGCGAGCTACAACATATAAAGTGCGAAAAAGGAAACAGTGCTAAGTACATTTCAAGCTGCTACGCGGATAATTCGCAAAGTCACTAACTTATCAAACTACCCTAACAGCATATTCGCCCGCCCATCATTACTTAATTACACATTCTTGCACAACCTTGACAAAGAAATGCCAATTTTCTAAACCCCAAAAATTGTGTAGTAAAAAATTTATGTACATAGTAGATTGGATAAGCACAGAGCAAACAGTTAACACTTAAATTGCTTGCAAATATTTTTAGAATCACTTATTCTTAAGTAGATATGTAAATTGTACCTACATACATACATACATACATAAGTATCCGTGGTTTTATTACAAAATAACATAAGACGACTAGACACTTTCCGTTTATGAAACAATTATTACTTAAATTCTAATGCAATTTTTAAAACTATCAATCTCTAAAGCAATTTATCTTGATAAAATTTACAAAAAAATTTATTTACTGGCAAACGATCATAGTATTTTCAGAAAAAAGCCTTAGTAGTAATCGACCTGGCGAATTTTGCTTGTTATCTGATCTCAAAAGCAACTTCGCTAAATTGAAATAATTTGCTGTCACATATTTACTTTAGACTTACTTAATTAAGTTCTAAGTACATTTCCATGTAGTTGACTCGAGATTCGCCATCATCATCAGGTAGACTGACTTTGGATAGATGGTTAGCAAATATTTTTCAAAATTTAGATGCATTACTTAAGAAATAGTATTTTGGGTCCCAAACAGCAAGTGTTGGTCTTACATAATGAAACTGTAGAAAAAAAATTTAAATAAATGCATAGTAATTTTTTCGCAATGTAAATTGATATAGCAGAAAGCTTTTGATGTATAAATATCTTAGCACTCGGTATGGGTAAAATTTGCGTTAATACAGCAGAAAATTTGTAACTGCTTTTTGTATACAAATGAACATTTCTGGACTAGTTCAGGGCTGTTTGGGGGCTAGTTCATGTCTAGTTTAGGTCCTATTCAGAACTATTTGGGTATCGTTTCGCTACTATTCCGGGACCTGTTCATGTCTACTTAAGGAGCATTTCGCGAATATTTAGTTGGGGATCATTTCGAGCCTAGTGCAGGACTATTTCAGGAACATTTCGGTACTAGTATTTATGTACATGTATATAGATACTTTTCGGAATATAAATATTGCTGGGGTAAAACTCTCCATGCTCCAGATTAAATTTCGCAGACAACTGATCCACTCCACTTCAGAGAGTTTTCTCGGGTCTTCAACAAAATCCAGAGTTCACCGGCGATTCTTTTGGCCGCCTTTGCAAGTCGGCCAGTTCTTTCTGAATCTACTAAATGCCCATCCGTTCAGGAATAGATCACAAACTGTCACAGGAGCTCTTATAACCTCCCTGGCAGGGGTAACAACATCGAGGGTGCACTGTCTAACGAGCTCATCTACCTGCAATTCCACTTTGCCCTGGGACCCAAGTTAGACTAATTTGGAAATATTCAGTGGAAATCAAGCTTTTCACTGGTACGAAGTTAGTCGACTGCCTCCTTTATACCGGTCACTTTAAAACATACTCCATAAGTTAATATTTACTGGACCTCTGTCCCACAGGCATCCTCTCTACCAACCACTGCTTGGGGAGATGTGTAAGAAAAGGATCCCTTGAGACTCAGCATCGACTTATGCACCAGTTTTGGTTTGGAATTTTTTTTCTTTCATGGTGGCATTTCTGAATGGTTCACCCTTCAAAATCATTCAGACTTACATACATGCATGTGAGTCTAGCCTCTTTCTTGCTAAAATTTAAAGAAGGTTGTCGAAAACATAATAAGATCGGAAATTTTATGAATAAAGTACAGATTTTTTTAAATAGTTGGGTGACTTCATCAGTTTAATCTAAGCTAGTATAAGGTCTCTAGATGTCAAAAATATGCTTCATTCGCCCAAATCTAAAATCCGACTTTTGGCCATTTGCTAGGGATTTGAGCCCACTGTGGAGTTGAGGTAAGTATTTTACCGCATAGCTATTCGGAGCGCATTTACGTCGAAGCGAGTGTGCGATGTCGTTATTTGTGTTGACCAAAAATAAAATTTCGCAGATATTTATAAATACATATTTGCATAAACATATCTTTCTATTAGCGTTAGCTAAAATCGTAAAAATAAAGCAATAAAAACTATGGTGAGTGAATCAACCAATCGTCACGTCCCACCTAAGCTAACGATGCGATGCCAGTGCTCGCAATTGCAGATCGATTTTAATTGCCGCCGCTCAGATTTATGAATAAAACAAAAGGCGTAGAGCGTTTAGTGGAAAATGAAATGAACTCAAATGGTTTTGACAGCGTAAGTAAATATTTAATTTATAAATTCGTAATCACTTTCATTATTATTTTATTCATTAGCCAATTGGGTTCGCAATTTAAGAAATAATTAAGAGACTTTTAAGCGGCGTCAAACAACTGATTTTGTGCTGGGTTTGGACATGAAATAACATACATACATATATACTACATTATAAAGCATACCCACGTGTTCGTCTCGGTGAAGGTTCTCGGCGAGGTTTAAGGAGAGTTGCTTCCTGTTTAAAGAGTTAAATTGAATTAAATTCATAGGATTATGCAAATATCGCAATACGGGTCTCAAATGGCAAAGATAGTTCATAAAAATAAAATATTTTTGAAGAGAGTTGCCACCCGTTTGAAAACATGAATTTCACTACTTGATTAGATAGCAAAAAAAAACCGACTTAAAAAAATATATATATATCTATATATTTCATGATCCAATGATCGGATCTAAACCAAATTAGTATGGACCACCTCTGAGACACTACCTTTTCGTTGCAAAACCGAAATCGGTCGACGTGGTCCAAAGTTATGCGGTAACATACATAAAAAAAAAAAAAAAAAAAATCCGACGAACTGATAACCTCCTCTTTTTTTGGAAGTCCCCTGCAGGGAGTGACGTTAGCTTATACCTAACTTTAGTATGTTTACGCGAACACTAGTGCTAACTATTAACTGTGTATTTTGTTCGAAAAAAGCTAACTACTTTTGTGGGGCGATGGCCGCAAAAAAGTCAGACCTGGATACCTCTGCATTACATGTCAACTAACTTGTAACTAACTACTTTTGGACATAAAATATCAATAAGAAAAACAAAATATTTTTTTGTTTTTTTACTTTTTTTATTTACTTATTTATTTACTTTATTTTATTACATTTCATATTTGTTTGCATATTCTGCTCTGGGTGGCCCCATATTCGAACACCGTCAGACATAACTTCAAAATGATAGTAAAAAATTTCGATCTTCGTTTTATTTGTCCTGAATATGAAAAAGAATCTGCGAAGTTCAGAAAAAAAGTGTATTGAAAGTAATTTTTGTATGAGGATATTTAATAGAAACTTGTAAAGAAAACGTCTGCATGACTTTACAATTCACTTTAAGTTGGTTTTGTCATAGCTAATTAAAAGTGAGGTATTAATCGAAATCTCGCCCAAAAGCTAACTATAAGTTGGTTAGTTTTAACAATTGATAATTTTTCACTGCAGAATTATTACAATAAGGGTGTCAAACGAAAGAGATTTAAGAAAGCTCAATTTGCACAATATTTTTAACAACGTTTCCA